TTAGAAATAATTTTAATTTCAATGTAGATCTTGTCAGCAATAAAAATCAATGATCACCTTGACAGCTGTTTCATCCTATTCTGGGATTCTTCTGCAGTGCAAATATTGGAATAATCACAGTTAGTCAATTTCGACTATCATTTAATTCAATTTGAACTTCCCCGTTGATTGATTGGACTGAAATTCTCCCCCCCCCTGTTGACTTGTCGGCTCTTTCTTGTGCAGATGCTTCAACGATATCTGATGATTTGGCCTAAAGTAATTTGGTGGATTCGGACCACCCGTGGAATCCAAGATGCACATTTCGCCCCATCTAAGACTCTTCAACTAAAGGATGTACTTGCATCCCCGAGTGAGTGAGTGAATGAGTTATGGTGTTCCCGCTGAGGCTTGACCGACGAGAAGGAGGCGGATCTCATGGCCCAAGTGGTCTAGTGGATAACGCTTCGTCGTTTGAGTCATTGAGTACTGGGTTCGAGTCCCAGTAGGGACACTATTACTCACTCACAGGGGGATGCGGGTACGTCTAGCTGACAAGCCTCAAATAGAACAAAGTGCGCTTTGTCTTGGACTCCACTGCTATTTAGCATCCCCTAAATATTGACTATTGTTTAAATACACATAAAAGGTATGACCAGTAGGGTTATAAGATGAAAAGAGATGAAATAAGTGAATGGGATGTTTAGAAATTTATGACATCAATAAAAGTATCTGCTTCAATAGGTGAGCTGTTATCAGCAGGATGAAACAAAATGAGAACAATACAAAGAAGAAGAAGAAGAAGCACAAATAAAGAGGATACACAGAATGTAAGCCTCCAGAAGACAACAAATAACCATAGTACTGATAAAACAATAACAGTAGCGATAGTATTAATGTTTGGTGTAGACATGGCGGTAATATTCGCAAATGATCATCAATGAATAAAAGACAATGGAAACAAAAGAGTTGTGTGAATACAACAGCGAATTGGGAAAGCATTCGGTGATCTTGAGAAAGTAGTGAATGTTAGCAGACCGAAGCAGAAGGTATGCACATAGAGGTGACTATAAATTGCATTTCATCCTTCAGACATCTCTAAATCATACTTCATTCAGCTGAAGAATCCAAGGTGTAAGTCAGCTGCATAAAAAGTGAAATCAAATGCACTTGGATAAATGACTTCTAATTACTTTCACAACAGTGTTGTCACCTTTGAATGTGACACTTATAAATGGTGTCTCCTTTGGTACTGTGATATATTTTCAATAAACCTTCTATGATATCCCTTATTTGTGAGTGTGTTGTACAAAGATTTTTCAATTCTTTGTCCACTGTATCTTTCGAGGAGTGGTTCATAATTCTAGAACCGAAATCTAAACTTTGCAGTACAGTCCACTAACTTCAACATTTGGATACGTACAGGTAAGAAGAGAAAACGTATCCACTGTCTACGTCCTAAAATTCTTAACACGCACCTGAAGCGTTAATTACTAAAGTTTATATTAGTATAGGTTGATCTTGCTGTGGTTCGATGGTAAGAACAAGCGGCTGAACATATTTTTTCTAAGTATACAGACCAGGACTTTTTGTATTGCTACCGTTGTAGATACAGACAGGACACACGAATTTGGTATATTTTGGAAGAAAATTAGCAAATAACAAACATTTTAGCGTGTATTGTTGTAGAAGATGAAAATAAGTAGTATGATTGGACACTAGTCAGTAAATACTAAAATGCATCTACTCCTTTGTTTACTGAGGACTTAATCCTATCAGTTGAGTTTCCATTGTGGCTACTAGGTGGCTGGACATCATGATTCACTCAGAATTGTTGTTATTAGATGATTGGAGACAATCGGTAGGAAGCCTTGCTCGACCCAGTTTTGTGCTTGTCGGCACTCACTAGTCAGCAGGGCAGACGAATCTACAATCTTGAAGGAACTCATGTCCCTTCTAGGATTCGAGCCTATGTTACCAAGTTCTGCAGTCAGAGATGTTACCACTGGGCTATTAGGGCCTCAGCCTCATACGTCAGATACTTCTCGCTGTGCAAGGTTTCCTGCCTATTACCTCCATCCATCTAATATCGAAGATGAAAACAAGTCACTGATGTATAGGAACTACCATGTGAATGGACATATGAATCCAATTTGATGATATTTAAAGCGTCGAATACCTACTTTTTAGAACAGAAATTACCACGCTGTAGTTCTCAGATATTGATCTGTACTACTGAATTTTGATGGGTTATTCAATAAGGAGTATTTAGAATGATTAGGGAAGAGGACAAAATTTCATTTGGGAGATGTATGACTGATATAGCGAATAAACTACAATGAATCGATCATGCAAAACAACACGTATGAATGTTTTACAGTTCAAGTTCAGATAGGTAAGTGGAAACAGGTATGACAGGTTAAAATTATGGTTAGAGTGGATTATGGTTCAGTGACGTCACCTGCTTAGACAAGGTAATTGTCAGACGAGAGATTTAAAAATGTTAGGAATCGCAAACTGAAGAGTTCCTCTGAAATTTCACGAATCCATTAAATCTTTGCTTTATTAACATTTGTATCGGGAAAATAAATGTTCATGTCTGTAGCTTATTGGGTAAGCCACTTCTGTCATGGTTGAAGGACTACCTAGCTGAAAGGCAATTTTGCACTAAGGTCAATCGAGTCCGATCATCTTGGCACAGCTCGTCATCAGGAGTGTCGCAGGGTTCTATCCTAGGACCGCTGATGTTTTTGATTTTTATCAAGGATCTACCATGCCGTCTAAGCTACCCGACTCTTCTATACGCTGACGACGTAAAGATATGGAGGGCGATAAAGTGTCCGGAGGATTCAGACAGGCTGCAGGAACATCTAAACCTTCTGGAAGACTGGGCGGTGGCCAGTGGCATGACTTTCAACCTGAAAAAGTGCAGAGTTGTGGAGTTACGCACCTGTAGACAGCAGAATGCAAGTTACACCCTGTGCAATGAAAGCTCGTCCTGCACAACGTCGGAATGCGACTTAGGTCTAGTTCTAAGAGAAAAAGTGGGCACAAGCGTAAATTACACGGGGGACGTAGCGAGGGCATATGCGGTCATACACTTTACACATAGACAATTAGGTTCACGCACTCCTGAGTTCTTTCTAAGGTTGTATAAAACATACGTCAGACCGCATCTTGAAGTGCATAATATTATTGAACCCCCACTGCTTAGAAGAGACGCCAACCTCTTGGAAAGAGTCCAACGACGGGCAACAAAAGGAGTGGTTGGTCTCCGAAATAAACCATATGATGAAAGGCTGAAGAAATTAGGCCTATTCACACTTAGTTACCGTCGTCTTAGGGGGGATTTAATTACTGTCTACAAAATAACAAATGACCAGAATCACCCAAACAAAGGTGTTCTGCCATTGAGTAGGTATAGGCTCCCCCGTGGAAATCCTAGAAGGATAGCTCATCAGAGGGCAAGGACCCGGGTGCGCTCCCACTTCTTTTCCCTGCAGGTTTGCCGTTACTGGAATTCCTTACCGGCAGATGTAGCTGTGGCACCATCTGTGGATGCCTTTAAGCGAAGGCTGGACAACCATGCAGCGACACAAGTACTGCATCCAAATGGCCTATCCCCTTGAAATCGCATACACCATTCAAGGGTAGATAATTAAACTGGTCGTTTTACTTCTTTACATTCTCTTCCGTCTTACTCTCCTGACAGCTTTAACTACACCTATTATTATTATCATTATTACCGGTATATATATATATATGTATATATGTACCGGTTGACTGACTGTTGTTACGTTTTCTTATTCTTTTTCTGTCTGTTAGTCTGAATAACTTCACTAATTATATCTATTATTATTATCTCTTTTCTTTTGACGACGATACCGGAGGATTAACTGGTGAAAGGATCAACTCCATTCACAGTAGTAACAGTCTTAACACACCTCATACTACAAACCACATATAATTAACCCCAGCACTACTCCTTTTGGAGTCAACCAAAGCTACGATAGTTGAGTGGCGAGACGAGCTACGCAGAAGTTTACCGAAGATCAGGAACCTATACCGGACAGTCAAGAGGCGAGCACAAAGAAATCAAATTGGTTCATACTAGCTAGTAAAAACGATATTGGATATTGGAGGTGGACGTCTCTATTTCACTAACTAGTGTGTTCTCTTACAATAAATCTAATCAGCACACCTAGAAGACTTCAAACAGTTTTCTTCATCTGTATGCAACGTAAAATAGTTTCACTATCAGTATTAAAATTGTTCTACACACAAAGAGTTCAGAGAAAAGGAATATTGGATGTTAGTTAGCAAACTTGTTAACATATATAGAACACGATTTAAGCAAACAAATATGTATTCTCAATAAATTCTCATCAGGCTTTACAATTACATTAATAAATTATCACTTGTAGAAATTTAAAACAATACGAAGTAATAGAATCATGTAGTCAATCGCGAGCTCGAATACCTCAGTAGTAACATCTCTGACTACAGTACTGAGTGACATGGACTCGAATCTCAGGACGGACGTGAATTCCTTCAAAACTGTCAATACCCCTGCCTTGCAGACTGGTTAGTTCCAACAAACACGAAACCTACGTCAGGCAGAGCCTCCTACCGATCGCCTCCAACCATCTAATAACAGTAATGAAGCATATACGCATACATGAACTGTATTTTCCTTGAGTTCCTTTCGGTGACTTAATTGTTACTTGACAAATTTACGCGGTGAATCGTCGTCCTCAGTTTTATTCCCCATCTCCTGAAATAATGTCATCCTAAAGTTTATTCCTTTTATCGTTTTTTGTAATTTTGTAGCGTATTTGTACTATGAATTTCGTAAGTAGGCAGTATACTATCGAAAAGTGACATGAAGGTGTGTGAATAACAGCTATTCCACAAAGCGCTTTAATTTTCAGTTAAACTGATTATCCATAAGTCATAGAAATATCCAAATAGTCAAATATATGTTTTTTTGGCAATTATTGTGTATTTTGCACTGATAATTATTACCAGCTTAAACAGATTTGATTATTACCACCAAGATATGGTGGTAAAATTCCCAAAAGACAGTTTATTGTATCAGCTAAACGTGTACAAAAGTTTGTCCTGCGTATATGCATATTTAAAAATAAAAAAAAGATTAAAAGAGAAGAGATGATGAAATCTTTTTTATCACGGCAAAAAGGTGGAATATCTAAACCATTATCCCATCATTTACCTCTAAGTTTGTTATTTTAATTCTTTGAAAAGAGAATAAAATCAAGCATAATTTATCAGATACACAGTTCATTTGTGATCGTTTTCTTCCTCAATTGGATTAATGTGACGTCGAATTTCTCAGGTAGTAACTCTTTGTAAATTTGTTTTAAGTTTTTCACCACAGATTGATATCAGTTAGAGAAGCATTGGAGACAAACATTGGAGTACTGGACAGCTGTTTCGTCAGCCTAGTTCAGGACTCATCCACCTCACTGAGGTTTTAAACCACGACCTTCCAGTTGAAAGTCATGCCCGTAGACCATTCATTCAACCACTAGAATCCTACTGCTCAGTGATCAGCCCATGAATTTTAACTTCTACTGTTTAGTGATAATAGTGCGACTGTCACCACCCAATGTAACTGCTGGCAAAGATTTATCGTCATTCCCAAATGGATGAATTCCACTGGTCATGACTCCTCACTAGAACTGTAGGCAGTCAACTTCATCCTGTAACTAGTCGATTTGTCACAAGTTAAACCACGGATTTATATCAGTTAGAAAACCAGGGAATACTAGTCAGCTGTTTCTTCAGCCTGGTTTGGGACTCATTGACGGTACGCACCCACTTTTGATAACTGGACGAACAATTTGCGATATTCATGAAACTTCTTAACCTGCTTCGTATAGTCATACTTTGTTCCGCATTTCAATACATCCAGAATCAGTGCTGCGCCTAATTATTTATTATACAGTTTCGATGTTGATCCTCTGAACAAACAAGTCGAAAATACCGTCTCTCCCAACCTAACCGTATTCTTGGTTTAACACTTTGACCATATCCAGTCTAATGTACACAGCTGAAGAGGACAAGGACAAAACGCGTACATATCAAAGCCAGTTATTCATTTGTTGGGTAGATTTTTATCTCTGCACACCTACAGCCACAGAGATTCTACCTATCACACTGCTGCAGACTGCAGTCTAACAGACTATATGACTTGCTTATACTACATCGAACAAAATAAGAAATGACAATTTGAAATACAATTGCAGTCAAAAGGTAAATCTTACCAAATATTAACTAAGTATAATCTGAAAGTTGATTGATTTTTAGAAACAGTAAGAAAGAAAGAATTTTAATACTATAACAATTTATTTTCAGATTGGATATGGCTGCATAATACATGGGCGAATTAGTAGAATGCTCACCAATCGTGCCACACTTGGTACGGGGTTCTATCCTCCGCCGACACAATCCTCAACCTTAGTTAGCCGGTAGTATGCCTTGTAAAGTGGGAAGGCGGCGCGTGCAGCTAGGCAACCACACCTCATAAAAAAGAATGACACTACTAGTACTGTGGTGAGAGCTGGCTGCTAGCCAAATTGGTAGATAGTGTGTACATTCCCAGTATTGATCGTGAGAAAAAAAGAACGAAGACTGACTCAATAACCAATCATAGCAGACTGCGTAGGCGGATACAATTTGCAGATAGATAATCTGAACTTCAAAAAACTGCCACAAAGAGATGAAAGATTAACATTCAGCGAGAAACCACCAATCAGAAGACTGTGTTTGTCTACTGACAATAATCTATAATAATGTACATGAAAATCTATAAATATGTGTTGATTTCCTTAATAAACGATCTGTTGCCTGGCCCTTGTCTTCTGTTTTTACAGTACTACTAGTAGTGGAACTTTAGAAGGTGAATGCTTGAAGCCCTATGTTCCATCTTTACTTTGCCACACTGGTAGGTGTTTCCCAGCACGAAAATGAAGTTACTAGAGTGACTACCAACATAAATAGCTTCACAGTGGCAGTTGATAATAATATCAACGATAATTATAATAATTTACTTATTATGGCTATATAAGCGCAGAACCTGAAGGAAAAGTTATCAGAAAGAATCTTCTTTTCACACTGGTCAGTCTCATAAAATCTTCATTGTTTCAAAATCCTTTGAATGGAAAATACGTAATACCAAGAAGAGATTACGACTCTTTACCATTTAAAAGAAAATACTTTTCGCCATTTCCACTACTTATACAATGAAGATGGGTTTCATACCGCATAAGATGTCTGTGGCATAGATGGCACTGAAATTGAAACTAAGTCAAGCATTAAATACTTTGGAATACTTCTATCCTCTCATGTTTCTTGTTTGGTCACCCCATATCTTGTCGATTTCTGCGAAAATATTCCGTCTAACCTACCACATTAAGAAGTTAAGAAAATCAAGAATCAATCACCCTCTACGCTTACAATTCGTTAACTCCTACATGTTACCTATTGTTCTTTATGGCTCCGCCATACTGGGCTACTCAAAAAGGAATATGTCATATTGAGATGAGAGGGGTATTAAAGGTTGTCAGTAGGGCAGACAAGTAGTATGCCATTAAGTCAGTCAGCTCGTTACTATTGTAGTCGACAGACACCTGAACAACTCATGTGAGAAATGGTCTAAATCCATACTGTCTGACTCTCAACACCTCAGCCTCTCTATTCACAACTGTCCCCTCCCTCCCTTGCATGTCATCAGGTAAGAGGACTAGAAGTTATTATGATAAAAGATTACATACTCGTACAGCCAAGTACAAAACCTCGGCGATACTCTGTTTGAACCGCCCACGTTCTATGTGATACAGATAGTATTACACCTGAAACTTACCAAGTATTTAGAAAAATAATTGCTTCTTTTATCTCCTCATGTTTCTAATCTATGGTGACAGAATTTCAGTTATCATTTCAGCTATTACCATTATTATTATTACCATTATCATTTTAAATTTTTGTACACTGTTGACTTTAATGTCACAGGGAACACCAGAATAAGCTGCTATTGTCAATCCTGTTTTGCTTTTCATATGAACTGTGATCAAGATTTGACCGGATAGTTGCAAAATAATTGAGCGATGAGTGAGAAGTAGACATTTGTAAAATAACTCATATTTGTAAAATCTCAGCGAAACTGGAATGATTAATTCCAACGTTTCCTGTGTTCGGCAATCTGGTCCGAACTTCTTCAGGGAAATTAATCGAAATTAACATAACAGAAGTTTATACATAAACTTTGTCCAATCGTGAGTCATGCAACAGGCATCAACATGTATAATAAATAAATAAATAAAATAGTATGTTTATATATAAAAGTACATCTCTTGTTTTTAAATTGTTTGTCCTGTCATGTGAATCAAGAAACAGCTATCAATAGGTATAATAAACAAAACAAAACAAAAATTTTTATATGAACTGTGATCAAAATTTGACCTCAGACTTTCAAAATTAGTCTACTTTTGTTAAAATATATGTGTATATGCAGTATACAATGGTGTGTGTGTATGTGTGTAGGTGAACAGTCATAAAACATTTGTTATTCTCATATGAGCTGTGATCAAGATTTGACAGGATAGTTACAAAATAATTGAGATTTTTTACAAATAGAATATAATTTTATAAATTTGATATTCTCTCCATTAGAAGACGCAGACAATCGGGAATTTGATCAAGTGTGACTAGTTGTTGATACATATCCAATTTATTTACTAGTCAGGATTTGCCATGCATCAGGTAAGATCACACCTTCACGTCTGTTCAAACTGTTGGGATTCACCCATATATGTAGGGCTTCTGCAGTCAGTCTTTCTTTATATGAACCAAAACCTTTCTGTAAAACCTTAGTCTTATCAAAGTCGATTTTGTTTCCCGTTAACACGGGACCTTTGTTATGTTAATATAAGAATAAAACTTGTGCACCGTGGTAAAGTATAATTACATTATGGTTAAAATTCATTTTGATATAGTCTCACAGTGTCATACAGTTATATTTACTGATGACTACATTTCGAGCACAATAGGGTGGTTGGGACAGAGTTAAAATTCTAAAAGGTAATATAAGCAGGTGGAGAGAGAGAGGTTGATTGCTGAATCCTTGTTCATCGATTCTACAACCAACACATGCAATAGAAGTGACCCACCATTCATACCGGAAATATGGAAAACACTACTACCAATCAAATCAAGCGATGGAAAATAATGGAATTATATAAATGAAGTTAGAAAGTTGTGTGAGTAATGCCTTGATATTGGGATTATGAGCAGCGATAAATTGTGCTCGAAACGTGGTCATCAGTAAATATTACTGTATAACACAACACTGTGAAACTTTATCAAAATAAACTTTGTTATGTTAATTTCGATTAATTTCCCTGAAGAAGTTCGGACCAGTTTGCCGAATACAGGAAACGTTGAAATTACTCATTTCAATTTCACTGAGATTTTACAAATTTAAGTTGTTTTACAAATGTCTACTTCTCACTCGGCACGCAATTATTTTGAAACTCTATTCAGTCAAATCTTGATCACAGTTCATATGAAGTATGAACTCATATTCTCCTCAATGATTACACATTCCAGCACATTCATGACAGCTAGAATACTGACTCATGAAATTCTTTATTTTGATTTTTTTTCTTAAACACCCTGGAATTATTTGAAATAATCTATAATTCCACAAAGTATGCTTTCATCTAAAAAGGTCAACATGACACTCTTCAATAAAATAATTTTGCCATTTTTACACACTGACTTTTTCATAGAATGATACCTTAGTGAAGTTGTTCTTTTGAGGGATTTTGTGGAATAAAATAATTCAAAATCACAAAAGTACAAAATGTGTTTCGTTCAACACTAATCAGTTACACTGGACTCACCTTAAATCAAAGATGGCTAAGTGAATATGATTATAACTTAAAGTGAAATCGATCAATAAATTATAAAGATAGTTGGACAAATGGTTAATTGTTTGATAACTATTCATTGAAACTTCTCTTTCCAATAAGCACACATATACAACAGTAGTTAAGTGATTCGATCATTTATTGTGTTTATCATCAAGCTCAACAGTCCGCTCCGTCCTCCTTTATGGCTGTGAGACCTGGCCATTGAGAGCAGAAGACATGAAAAGATTAGCTGTCTTCGATCATAGGTGTCTGCGTTCTATCTCCCGCGTGAAGTGGAATAATAAGGTGAGCAATATTGAGGTTAGGCGTCGAGTGCTAGGTAAGGCGGGGAAATCAATCGACGAGACTGTGAAATTGCATCGACTGAGATGGTTAGGACATGTGCTACGTATGCCTAGTCATCGCCTTCCTCGACGGGCAATGTTAGCTGATATAGGGTCAGGCTGGAAAAGAGCTAGCGGCGGTCAAACCAAAACATGGCACCAATCAATGAAATCCACAACAGTTAATCTAAGCCACGTAGGAAGATGTAGACTTCCTGGTTGGGGCCCTCGGGATGGTAAAAACCAATGGTTGGAAACAATTGGTGACATGGCTCAAAATCGTTCTCAGTGGCGCAGATGCATCCACTCCTTGTGACTTATGATTTCCAATGAAACTGTTTTGTTCTTCGTTATTACTATTCCTTTGTCTCACACCACTGTTTACTGTCTATATTTTGCATTTCTTCTACTTCCTTCTCTTGCTTTGCGTGCTACATGGATTGAGGCGACTTGAACTGCCGCACATATGTGCAAAGTTCTATGTCGAAAACAGACAGACAGACAGACAGATCATCAAGCTGTGCGATCGTATGTATATATGGTTTTTAAGAAGTTATATCCGCTGAGGGAATTGAAACATAGGTGTGAATGCATAAAATAATAATAATATGAAATGCAATTAAAACTAAAATGTTTGTGATTATAATCACAGTCCCTGAAAAGAACATTCCCTGCTGCATCCCTGAGAATAGCCTTTACTAGTCAACCATTATTGTTCAATAACCTGAAGGACAAGATCTCGCTGTTGACCAACTCTATGTGTGTTTATCAATTCACCTACTCGTGTGGAGCTAGGAATATCGGTCGTTCGAGTCGAGTTTTGTCCAAGGGGGTGCAAGAACACTATCCTGCATGGTTACAAAAAGGCGGTAGTGGAGCAATAAGAAGCGTGATCATTGAACATCTGGTTGATAATGATCACCCTATCTCTATAGCCTCCGCCTTTAAAGTCATCTACAAGGCAAAGAGTAATTTACCCAAATCCCTACGTACCCGACTCATCTGTATTGCTGAAGCCATCTTTGGCTATCGAGACAGAAAAGCCAGATCTCTGTGTACAGAAAAAGTTCGTTCAACCCCTCCAACTTTCATGGTCTTAATCCCTCTATGCTAAAGTATGGTAATCCCCAATCATATTTTAGCTCTACCAATTTTCATTTTTGTCTATTCAATTTGTATACTCTTCCTTATTAAGTCAATTGTTACTATTACTACTCTCACTTTGAACTGTCCCCGATATTATTTCACTTGTTCCACTTGTCATTCTAAATCAATTCCTTTATGCAACAATAAATTCTATGCTATTAAATTTCACACAATATTACGTAACGTTTTTATTTTATTCGATTTGTCTACTAATCCTATAATTGCACACCTTTTTCAAGTTCTATCCATCCTATGAATTATTCTACATATGACATTAATTTGCTTTGCCACTTGACATTTAACTACGATTATAATCACAAACATTTTAGTTTTAATTGCATTTCATATTATTATTATTTTATGCATTCACACCAATGTTTCAATTCCCTCACCGGATATAACTTCTTAAAAACCATATATATGCGATTGTACAGCTTGATGATAAATTCTTTGAAAAGAGTCTCTTCGCTGAATCACTTGTTTTGATTTTCTATATGTTACAATGGGAATTTTCCATCATTTATTGTGTCTCAAGAAGTAATTAAATATGTGTGCATAAACTGCCGATGTGATTGCTCCATTCGTCACTGTGTTCCTTTAAACCAATAATTAGGGTGATTTCTGAAATGCTGGAAGTTGCTTTCATTTACACTGACAGTTTCTGTAGAATTTCTAATACAGGGAGAACATAAAATGGACAGTTCGTGTCATTTCAGTGACTTTCCAGCAAGCTGGCAATAGACGTAAGGCTAGTTTCAAGGGAACAAGGACCTTCAATAGTGTTGTTGCTAAGCATCTCATCAATACGGGTGTTCAGATGGTCATCGCAAAAATCCTTCAAAATTATCAGTAGACAAAATCGCTCAGTTCTCTTCAAGCTTGCCAAAGCAATCTCTATTAAATGCCTGATACCCGATTTATGTTCCTTGCCCTGCTACCTAGATATCTTTTTTTCTCTCTTAAATTTGATTACTTAATCTTTGGCCTTAACCTCACCTTCCTTCGAAATAATGTAATTTTGCCTGTCTCTTGATCTGAGTTGAACTCAGTTTATTGTCACTGAGTCTATAAGTTACTCATCATCTTACTCACGTTGTGTCTTTATTACGTAACTGCTGTATGCACACATTGATTTTTGTTTAGAGTCTAACTCCCTGAGTAAAAATTATGTAAGTGTAATTTTCTGAGCACCGTTCATTATTAAGCTTGAAGCATCCTGTCAACTGACATCACGTAGAGTTTGCAAGTATGTTAAAAAGTATTCTATACATAAGCTTTATAATGAAATATATGATGGCACCATCTTATTCTGCACAAACTGTTGTTCTTGTTTTAACCAAGTCCATTGAAGGGTGGGCGGGGAATAAATGTATGAGGCTAGATTCTGTTAAGAAGAGGACGCTTAGAAAAATCACCAATTACTTTTCTTATTAGAATACTAAAGTACCAATTAATAGGTTTTGATTGAACGTGAAAGTAACCAAAAAAGTGTTTGAATCAGACTCATTTACTCTCTGATGACTAATCAATGATTATCAGCAAACTATACTGAAGCATTTACTTTTGACGATTTCATTTATTTCAAAGTGCATTTTATCATGAATGGTGGTGATGTTATTTACTCCAATTAACAACAATCAAATTTCATGGGCAAATACATTCCCAACCTATTCCCACCTTGTAGCCTAAGAGTCATAGATTTACCCCTTATTTGTTCATGGGTTTGAATTGCTTGAAGGCTGTCAGACTAGAAAAAACACCTGTGCTCCAGTGCTTCTCAGTTTTCAGTGATACTGTCAATATTACCGGTATCTAAGGAGATTTCAGCTGATAAACAAGTAGTAATATGACTACAGCTGTATGTTATAGCCCATTAATCAACAGACTGTGGGTTCGAGTACTACCAACAGTCAAGTCGTCATTCAATCGTCTAACCAACCATCATTGAATTAATGTAATTCTAAGGATCAAAAATTACATTGTGCGTCGGTGGCACAGTGGTTAGGACTCTCGCCGACCATGCACACGGTCCGGGGTTCGATCCCCGCCTGAAGCAAACCAGATATCAATGGTCGGCCTGCAGAATTCGGGCTATCGATATCATATGCTGAGAATTCCATACTTGTACTAAAAATATGGTGTGGAATGTAGCTATAATCAAAAGGAGATAAAAAATTATTAAATAACTCACTAGTAAGCATACCGTCACCTAAAAGTACAGAAAACTAGAGAGTGAAATAATAATAATAGTCATAATAATAGTAATAATACATATTACTACAGATGATTATTAAATTATCGTTTATGTTTTTTTCATTTTTTCGATATTACATGGAGGATTTCATCATGAGCTGATATCAGTTAGAGAACCACTGGAAAACCTGGGAGTACTGGACAGCTGTTTCGTCCTAGCTTGTGAGTCTTCAGCAGTACGCACACACCACCACAGTTCGAACCCAGGACCTTCTGGTTACAAGGCGATCTCGTAGAGCATTGAGCCACTGGGACCCGATCCAATGGTCCTTGAATTCTAACTTCTGCCAATTCACGACATAGCGCGACCATCTCGCAATGTCTTCTTCGATGAGTTACTGCCTCATCTTCAACCTGCTGTATTCCATATTAGTTCGTTTATTAGATGTATTACACAGTGAGTGAAACAGTATTATTTACTGGATGACAAAGTTTCGAACACAATTCACTATTGTTCATAATCATTTCATCAATTATAATCACACGACTTCGAAACTTGAGTTTTATAGTCTTCCTTGTTCCCTCCTATTTGTCGTTGTTGGGGAAGTAGAATTTTCCAGATATCTGGCTGGACAGGTGTTGAATCATTCCCATTACACGTATTCCCTGTCAGTTGATTCGATACACAAAGCTTCTGTTATCAATCTCTCCCTCCATTCACCCTGTGACATTAGATTCTAAAACTGTCATCTTATCCCACCCATCCTATTGTATGGTTGTGTGTAACTGCATGTAGTGCTACAGCTGAACTATTCTCTAGATTTCTTATCTTATTCGGGTCAACTAATCTAGATTTTGCTAGGTATTCATTTAATTTATTTGCTAGGTTTTTAATAATAATAATAGTATTAATGACGACATGCATGTCAAACATGCGCAAGACAACACCAGCAATAAGGAATCTAAATCATCAGTAGTAATTCCATACAAGGAGGGAACCTCGGAAACCTTACGCAAAATTCTTAACAAGGCAGGAATAAAAGTGGCATTCAAACCCACAAACTCAATTAGAAATAAGCTTCGTCGGTTAAAAGATCAATCCTGTGGAGCCTCTAAAACAAAACAATTTAGTTTATCTAATACCCTGTTGGAATGATTGTCAGGTCAAATACATTGATCAAAGTAGTAGAACAGGGGCAGTCAGACTAGCTGAACATAAAAACCAAGCAAAATCTAGATTGGTTGACCCGAATAAGATAAGAAATCTGGAGAATAGTTCAGCTGTAGCACTCACTGAATGCGATTACACACAACCATACAATAGGATGGGTGGGATAAGATGACAGTTTTAAAATCTAATGTCACAGGCTGGAGGGAGCAGGATTGATAACAGAAGCTTTGTGCTTATCGAATCAACTGACAGGGAATACGTGTAATAGGAATGATTCAACACATGTCCACCCAGATATCTGGAAAATTCTGCTATCCAAGCGACGACAAATAGGAGGGAACAAAGAAAACTTTAAAACTCAAGTTTCGAAGTCGTGTGATTATATTCGGTGGTATGATTATGAACAATAAATTTTGTTCGAAACATTGTCATCCAGTAAATAATACTGTTCCACTCACTGTGTGATACATCTAATAAACAAACTAATATGGAATTACTTTCTACCAAGTTTTACACATATATTTTTCCAATTATTATTGTTCTTTTGGGTTTCGGGTGGAATATAGGGCTTCAACAGAGTATTTCTACTTTGGCCTATTTTCTGCTGTCCTCTTCACCTGGCCTCACGATTCCCTATAGTCTGTCATCTCCTCCTCTACAAACGATCTCCTACATGTCACAGAGTCTCAGACCCACGCCCAACTCATCGTATCCCATTCAGATTCCCATCGAGTGATAGCCTGGTGTGCGATGTGATTCGGCGGTCTCCTCAGTGGCGTGTCTCCGATCCATCTCTATATACCCTTCGACATATTTGCTGATGAATAAATTCTTGTTTGGGTCGTTACCCGCTAGAGTTTCTTGTTGCTAATTCTTTCTCTTCAGCTATTTAATATTCAATATGGACCTTCTCATGTTAACTCCAACTGTATATACAAATTTACATGTATCTGTGGGAGCAGTTACATTGGAAGGACAGAAAGAAGGGCATATTTACGAACATGTACCAAAAAGCTTATGTCTAAAGGGAACAAATGCTTTAAACAGTGCCATCGCGAGGCATCTCCTTGACACGGGTCATGAGGTGGACGTCGAAAAGTCATTCCAAATTATCAATAAGCAAAAGAACTCAATTCTTCTCAATTTTGCTGAAGCTGAAACTTGATTTTTGATTTGAGAAAGAAACAGTTATCAGTCTTTCTTTGCTCTGGTAACTGGATATTTTCATCTCTCTTTCATCTGAATGCGTAATGCTGAAAAGTTTCCATTGTGTATGATTATTATTGTTCGGAATAGTGTTTAATATTGCATATATATGTATATATTATTAGTGTATGCGTATATTGATCGATTGATTTTTATTAAAAATGAACTCTGTACAAGTATGTTAAAATTGTTTTTGTAGATATACTTAATAATGACTTTGGCCTGTAAGCAGCTGACGAGAAGGCAACGAAATAAAAGATGGTACCACTTTATTCTACTAAAACTGTAGTTCTTGCTTTGTTCAAATTCATTAAGGGGAATAAATGTATGTGAAACTCAGCTATTGATAAAGACATGAACTGGCCAATTGGAAATGATTACGGTTACGCACCGGCCAATTTTCTGACCCATATAGAAGAAGAAGTGACTGAGGCGGAGTCGAGAAGATTTCCAAACTGGTTTCAGAGTGCTGAAGATCTGTCTTACCTTCCCGCTTCTGATTTTGACATTATCATCCGTGCTGTCTGTCTACAGTTGAAACGATGCTTCCTAGATAAGTGAAGGAAGTGAGGACTTTCAAATTTCTCCAGTAGATAGTGATTGTTGTTGTTGGGTGGTTATCTTCATCACCTCCATCGTCTCTATGTTCACAACTTGAAGTTCCGCCTTTGCCGCTTTTTGCTGCCAATGTTCACCTATTTTAATAGAGCCCAATTTGATGTATATTAATTCAAAGACTGTTGCACAAAGCTTACGCTAAGTTTGATCTACCTATAAATCCCCAGATCACAAGAGGAATATATATCTACGTATTTAATCTAGTCTAAATCGAAATGCAAGTGGCATTTGACATTCAGAGATTCAGACATTCAAAGCATGATTACATGACAGTATCAATAATTCATGAAAGAATGTATGTTAGAAGAAGACTCACAGTTTACAACAGGTAATAAAGTGATTGAGAATACAATCAAAAATCCAAATATTACTGTATCGAATCCCATGAGTATAGCACACTTAATTACCTTTGACAAAGATAAAATACTTTTATTGAATCATTACTGCATGACCTGAACAATCATATACGCCGTGTATACTACTAACCAATCATAGGCACTTTGTGTTTGTCTCTCACTCAGTCATTATTTTCTCACTGAACACTTATAAAGTTATGAGAAGGATTTAGTGACTAGCAAACATTAAGAGAATCGCAACTTTTATAAAAGGGGATCGCTACGATATAGTCTTCAGTGGTTTGTATTCTGGAATTCTGTAAACTCCCTATTACAGCGTGGATGTTGGTTTCTTTTAGGAAATCCAGGAAGAGAATAATTCGCTGAATTTCTGATCATATAAACTAAACGTCTGAATTTCGTGAAAACTCGAAGACAAAAGAAATTGTCTAAGACAAAATTCAGACACGTTGGTGGGAGTTCTCTTTTCTTTGTTACGAGTGCTTCCACTCCCTGGAGTCAGCTTATCTGGAGATAGGAGGTAGCCATCCTTCTTGTGGTGTCCAGATTTTTCTTATCGGCCATTGAAAATCCAAGCTAGGCGGTATAATTTTCGTGGCAGGCCGTACCCATATCCGCAGCAGGTCTCCAAGGTGAACAGCCTCTGGCAATTGAACAGTGTAGGTAAGGGAATTTGGAAAATGAGATCCATAACTTAGGGAGGAGGATTGGCTCTGAGTGCCGAGTCAGAAATACCAAGATCAGATACGTGTCAGTTAAGTTGGAGTCTGGTATTTTCCGCTTCTTTGTGTGCTTCGGTGAGCATTATTGTCGAGTCACTGGACTTTGACCGTTACAGATCGCTGGCGGTTTCATCTGCTAGCATCGTATGGCTGGCAACGCGCGTGGACTTGCTTTGCATGGCTTCAAGTGTCTGTACTTCCATTGTCATGCACGCGACGGCTAACTCAGAACTGGCACAGACTAGGGGAATCTGACTGTATAATTAAAACAAAGCATTGCGATGCACACTGATCGGTTTTGACGCAATGTGATTTCTGCCCAGTGCTCTGAATGTCAAAGTGAAAAAATCCAACTAAGCGCGGGTAAACGGAGGGAGTAATTATGTCAGTGGCAGAGACGTTCCAAATTGAACCAAGATCAAGAGAAAGAAGGCTCGGGGATACATTGCAAACCAAAAATACTTGGAATAAATAAAGCTCCAGGGGAAATGAAGCATAAAGTAAAATATGCAAGAAGTACAGTATATTACATGATGCGAATTTCTATAGGCAAAACAGAATGTTAACATAATAGGTGAGATAGAGTGTTATGAAAGCGAAAGACTATCGATGAGGGATAATGGCATTGTCAACAACTTATAATTTGTACTGTTCATAATCAGTAAGTGCTGCGAAAATGAACACAAATAGATAAACGTTTAGTAAAGGCTAGTTAGCAAAGGACTGAGGAATATTACTGTATGCAATGAAACTGGCTCAGTAAATATTGCAAGTAACACATTAATCAGATAATGACGTCACTATCTAGGAAGAGATCAACACATATGAAACCGATGAAAGATAGCAAGGGAAACCTAATTGCCAAGGAGGAGAAGTAGACGAAACTATCGGCCTATCACTTGAAAAATCTTATGAACTGACCACCACCTGCAAATAACTCGTCCAGAGATACCATGAACAGCCACACAACTGCCGAAGTCTTCAGTGCCATAAAGTAACTAGATACCAGCCGGTAAGGCGGCACGACCATACAGAGTTCCCTTGGAACCAGTGACGACAGACTAAGAAACCTCAGTGGATATGCTCACGTCACTATTGTAGAAAGTTTGGATGGAAGAAAAAGTACATACTGACTGGAAGTAGGGAAACCTTGTCAAACTACTGGAGTCCTTGCATGAACCGGCGCGGAATCATGCTCCTGTCGATGCCAAGCAAAATATTTAGTCGCACCAAAAGATGCTTCGGATACAAAACTTCGCCTAGAACGGACTGAATTCAGAGAAAGAAAATTACATGTGGATCAAATTATGAAACTACGCATCATCATCGAACACAGCCTAGAATGGCAGTCAACTCAATCTCTACCTCAACTTCATCGACTATGAGAAGACCTTCAATAGCTTCGTCGGAAACTGGTTAAACATTATAGGGTGCCAACAACATTTATAAGCATTATTCAACATCTGGTCAGTGATATCAGATGACGGTGCCATACACCATGTGATTAACCCACAACGGAAAGTCTAGTGAAGCCTTTTAATATTGAGGCAAGCAATACAAGACCGCCAACTGTCACGGTTACCCTAGCCGATTTATTGACAGCAACATGAAAGAAAAGCAGTCTAAACTGGTTACCGACACAGTTCCAAAGAAAACCTTATTCATGAACTTGGAATTCAAAGGTGATCAAGATTCAGATATGCTCAAAAATCGTCTCTCCAAATCAGTCCGTAAGACGTTCTATGCAGCAAAATTACATATGACGTTCACTAGCCGCAAGTTGTTCTCTACCTCTATAAAAGATAAGCTACCCCGTCTGGCCGCCTCCATGTGCATCTATCAGTTCACCTGCTCCTGTGGAGCAAGGTACATTGGCCGTAGTCAGAGGACGCTTTCCACACGGATACGAGAACATATTCCAGCTTGGTTTTACAAGGGAGAAAGGAAGTGTGTGAGAAGCTCTATTTTGGAACACCTGATCGACTTCTGTCACTCTGTTAACCCTGACCATGATTTTAAGATCATATATAGAATCCATGCTAACTTCCCGCGTTTTCTTCGTTACAGACTTCTAAAGACAGCTGAGGCCTTGGCAATTCATGACTTCAAGCCAGACCTTTGTGTACAAAAGAAGTATGTACAATCCCTACTTCTGCCTTGGCCGTAGAGGGATAGACATTTATTTATTTTGTTTATTTAGTTATTCTATGTACTCTTCCCTTATTACTATTATTATTATTATTAATATTATTATCATTATTATGATTACTATTCTCACTCTGAATCTTGTTCACTTGACCTACTTGACATTTTAAACCTAAAATTATTAATTTTCATATTTTTATATTTTTTACAATGTTGAATTCTGTCTTATCAAATTTCATACCATGTTATGTAACATTTTATATTCGTCTACTAATCTTATAATTATGTACCCTTTTCCAAAATCGATACACCTTATGTATTATTCTATATACGACATTAATTATTGTGCCACTTGACCTTAAACTATGATTATAAATCACAAATATTTTAATTGCATTTCATACTATTATTATTTCATTTATTCACACCTTTGACCTAATTCCCTCACCGGATAAAAAATTTTTATAAAAAAAACCATATATATACGATTGTACAGCTTGATAATAAATTCGTTGAAAAGAGTCTCTTCGCTGAATATTGTGTTCTTATTATCATTATTGTTTCCTTTGATTCCTAGAGGAACATAGGGCTTCAGCCGCGCGTCTCCATTGCGTTCGGTTCTCTGCTAGAGTCTTCACCTGGCTCCAAGTCTGCCCACATGTTTTCATCTCCTCTTCACATGACCTCCTCCAAGCCACCCACCCTCGCACTGACGACCAACTCGCCGCTTCCCTTTCGGTTTCCACTCAAGGGCTTGTCTAGTGATGTTATGGCCAATCCATCTCCATTTCTTCCTGCCTATTTGTTTCACAATCGGTTCCTGGTTGGTTCTCTTTTAAAGATCCCTGTTGCTGATCTTTTCTGGCCATCTGATCTTGAGTGGTACTGAGCGAAGACAACTGTTAATGGTCTGTAGTTTGTTTGAGATGCTCTTTATGACGCGCTAAGTCTCTGATCCCTATAGTAGCACTGACTTCACATTGGAGTTGAAAATCAGGATCTTATTTTCATTTTCATGCTGAGTGCTGTTGACCTCCACACAGACTTGAGAGTAGTGAAAGCTTGTCTTGCTCTCCCGATTCTTGCTTTGATATCCTCGTCAGTTCCGGTCGCCTGTAGTTGAAACGATGCTTCCCAGGTAGGTAAAAGAGGTTGTTTCTGATTATGATATTCCTGATCATTGTGAACTGGATGTTGCGGAAGATCGTGGGGAATGAGATGACAGGCATACGTTGGACTGATAGGAGAGCTGTAGATGATTTGGACTTCGCGGATGATTTATGTCTAATGTCACACAGACTCGAAAACTTACAGGCAAAGACTGATTAGCTGCCAGAAAAAGCAGGCAACGTACACGGGACTTCAAGTGATGAATATAGAGAAGACGGAGGTGATGAAAATATCCAAGTAACAACAACAAACATCGGTCACCATCAACGACAGATATCTGAAGGAGGTCACCTGTTATACTTACCTAGGTAGCACCATTTCAACTCCAGGCTTCACAGATGGGGATGTTCATTACTCTGAAATCAGTGTAGAATCTACTATACTAAGTTTAAAGGACAAAATCTGGATTTGCTACACTAATATTATTCCAGTCAGTGCTTTCAGGTAATTCAGAGCCTTGGTGTGTCAAGAGACGCATTTCTGACAGATTTCAAACCTTTATCAACATCTGCCATAGCTCCATAGTGAAGACCAAATGACCAGCCAGAATGCATAAGCCACTGGGAACGAACCAACCAAGAACCAGTCGCACAGCAAATATGAAGAGGGAAATGGAGTTTGTCTTATGGCGTGAATTGCACCTATAGCAATATGAATTTCCCACAATGCTAAATCGCCTTATTGTCATAATTGACCCGTACCCCACCCCTCTAAACACACAAGTCTTTGTGACTCCAACTGACCCGTTGTTGACACAATAGTCAAATACTCAATCTTCACAGAACTCACTCACCAAATCCATGATTATTTGATTTGGAATAACTTTTCGTAGCATTCCCTAAATCTGATTGGTTCTACATAGTCAACTATTGAAAGGCCTTGACTTTGGCTATGATGCTTTTGCTTCTCCGTCTTAATTCTTATATGCAGTAATACAGTTGGTCGAAAAGTGTCAAAATATAATGATATCGTCTTTTACTGATGATTTTTTCTGTTGCCCACTGTAAAAAATAATCAATATTGAGTGAATGAATGTTTGAGTGAATTACTGGCTAGAGTGTTTTCGTTTGCTAAGAGCTGCCTGATTATTCCACATTTCCAAAATTACATCAAATGGAACAATTCACCACCGATTACATATAAACCGAGGGAGAGGGCTCTCGAGTGGTTGCGCCACAGGATGATACTGCATGCCGGTCTCGTCTCGCAAGAGGCAGGGATGGGTGTGTTCGGTTCTCCTGAAAACCAATACCCAGTCAATGGGTGTACCATTATGTGATTGTGCGTCGGTGGCACAGCGGTTAGGACGCTCGTCGACCATGACATGATCCGGGGTTCGATCCCCGGCCGACGCACATCCGATATCAGTGGTCGGCCTGCTAAATTTGGGCTACCGATATCACATGCTGAAAACTCCATACTTGTATCAAAAATACTGTGTGGAGTCAAGCTATAATTAAAAAAACTACACATAGTGCATTACAAAAAACCTTTATCACATCTGCTCTGTCATACTGACCTAATCCATTCTACCAGACAAATCATAGTGTAATTATGATCCTACTATGTCTTTTTATCCGATTTTATTAATTTACCCCTTGAATGGAAATAGTTCTAGGACTCTCTCATCCATTCACTATACACACACGATTGTACAGCTCAGTCAATGACTTGGTCGAAAAGAAAATTTTCTTCGATGCAACCGTCTTTTAAATATTCTCCATGATCTGATGGGTATATTCAATGTATTGAAGTCTCTTACTGAGTAACAGGGGCGCATTACAAATTATACAGTTACTCAAAATTAGTGAAAATTGCCATTAGAAGAGAAGAGAGGTAGTTGAGTGTCCTCCACTTGATAAGTGTACAGAAGGCGAGATTAAATCTCTTAAAATGCTCTAAAAACACATGACAGTGATAGTGGTTATTTACTTAGAAGGGAACAAGTAGAAAGGCATTTAATCCTATGGTAGAATACGAAAATGAACAGACCTTTTCTACACATAAAGTTTGGTCTCATATTGATGAATCTCTCACGCCTCCACCCATAGACATAACATACATACATGCGTAACATTCCTTCTACCAATCAGTCAGAATATACTGACATCAGTCACTGTTGTAATAGTTGAGAGAGGGACTATTTTAATTCGAACACTGAACACCGATGACTTGAATGTGCGTTTCTGTGCATCACTTAATCCCATAACAGGTTACACATAAAAGAAGATATTTCCTAGGTCCTCTAAGATGATGAAGGTAATATTGTAACGACAGAAGGCAAGGGTCAGGCAACAGATCGTTTATTGAGAAAATCAATAGATATTTATAGATTTTTATGTACATTATTATTCGTTATTGTTAGCAGATAAACAGCGTCTTCTGATTGGTTGTTTTCTCGCTGAAAGTTAATCTGTCATCTCTTTGTGGCCATTTCTTTGATTGTCAGATCATATATCTGCGAATCGTATCTGCCCACGCAAAGTCTTTGTTCTTGTTTTTCTCTTATGACCAATATTTGGGACTTAAACATTGACGTAAATTGCTGTCTACCAATTTTGGCTAGCAGACAGCTCTCACCACAATATGACCGCCTTAAAAGAAGCTGTGCTTATCTGTTCAAGGTTTATATATATGTATATCTACGCTCAGATGCTTGAAAGAAAAGTAAAGTCTGTTAACGTTTACAAAAAAAGTTCATTCGGTCAAAGAAATTCTTGGTGAGCATATTGTAGATATGGTGACGATGTTTCTACTATCGGCCATTAAAGAAGGTGGTATTTAAAAATGCATCTGCTGGGAATGGAACCCGATTCCTAACCAACAGATCTAGGAACGCTCACTATGGATGCGATGAGATAATTGGGTGTCCTTGAATGTGACGTTGACACTTTTGGTATGGATGGCATACAAGATAGTATCATCGAAAAGATCAACCACCTAGGCTTCACTGGCTTCTTGGAGAGCTAGGACTGCCGAGCTGAGCTCTGGAATTGCAAGTGAGTCCTGGGCGATCTCATGAACGAGACGCTGGAGACGTTGGCAATTTACCAATCAAAAGTTCAATGCTTTTCTGGTAACAACAGATTTCACGGAGAGTAACAGTTCCTGGCCTGTTTATATGTGGTTTCTTAACTCCACCAGTAGCTGGTGCGCTTTTACGGGCAGTTTTGGTGGCCAGCTGCTCTCTTGGGGCCTTTCCACCAGCAGATATGCGTGCATTGCCTGTTTTTCTGTTTTGTCATATTCTTAGTGTGCACAAATTTTGCTATTTTGCTACTCTTAAACCATGTTTTTTACGAATTGTAACATGTCTTCCAACACCTCTGATAACTTAGAGCTGGGATCTGTTAGTACTATTTCTCTTACTGTACCAGTTTTTAAACCCAGAGACCCCTATCTTTGGTTTACACGACTGGAGCATTATTTGACTAGCAATAAGCTCACGTCACAGACGACTGAATTTGGCATTTTGAGTACAGTACTACCCGACGAAGTCGCCGAGCAGGTACGACAATACATCGTTCAACCCAGCACAGAAGCACCTTACGACAAGCTGAAGGAAGAGGTACGTCGACGCATTTCGCTTTCGGATAGGCGAGCACTCGATCGCCTGTTAAGCAATGTTGAGCTAGGTGATAAAACCCCATCGCAATTCATGAGGCATATGCAAAGCCTAGTAGCAGGAACAGAAATCGATAAACGTCTCTTTTACCAAATGTGGCTGCGGCGACTTCCCGCAAACATCCAGCAAGTTCATGCTTTCGGAGACGACGACACTGGCATAGAAAAACTCACCGAAATTGCGAATCGCATGTACGAGAGGTCAACACCTCAATCTGTCGCTTCCACTAGCAGAATACCAGACACTCACGACAGGATACAGACTCTAGAACACAAAGTCGACACCTTACTGAGTCAGTTAGCAAAACTGACCACTTGCACACGACCAAGCCGTTCTAGAAGCTCATCTCGTCGACGTCTTTCTCGATCCCATAGTACGTCACGACATCGCAATAATATTTGCTGGCATCACCGTAGTTATGGAAGCTATGCACGACGGTGCCATTCACCTTGCAACTTTCAGGCTAAACCAAAAGATATATCGTCATGTGTAAAAAATACTGTTGGCAGTCTATGATCTAACAGTCATTTGTTTTATGTAACAGATAGAAATACCGGTGGACACGAAATTGCTTGTCCTGTCAATGAGTCAAAATCAACCGTCACACCAATGCACCACTTGGTCGCTTTCCTAACCCCGACTCTAGATTTGACCATGCACATGTAGACATAGTTGGTCCACTGCCTCTTTCCAATGGTTTCAACTACATTATAACTTGCATCGATAGATTTACTCGTTGGCCTGTGGCAGTTCCAATAGCCGACGTCTCCGCTGAAACGGTAGCTAAAGCTTTAATCGAAAACTGGATAGCTAACTTTGGTGTCCCACCTATTATCACTACAGACAGAGGTGCTCAGTTTGAAAGCCGACTTTTTCACCAGCTAACTGAATTACTGGGCATTAAACGAATACGAACGGCCGCGTACCATCCTAGTTCCAACGGTATGGTTGAACGACTTCATAGACAACTCACAGCTGCGCTCGCTGCTTCTTTGACTCAAAACGACTGGTCAACCAAACTCCCACTGGTACTACTTGGTATACGAGCTGCTCTAAAGAAAGATATTGGCTGCTGTGTTTCCGAACTAGTCTATGGAACAACATTACGACTACCAGGAGAATTTTTCACCCCAGGTAACCAAGTTCCACAAGTTATGATTGGTTATGTGCACCAGCTAAAACAACACATGAACGACATCAAGATATCACTTCCACGCCAGCAGGAACGAACGTCATACATCCCGCCACAAATGACAGATTGCACTCACGTCTTCGTCAGGAGAGAGGGTGTACAACGACCACTTCAACCCGCTTACGATGGTCCATTCAAAGTTCTAAATAGAAATGATAAAGTTATAACGATAGAACGACTGAATAAAGCAGAAGCCATCAGTGTTGACAGAGTCAAACCAGCGTTCATCAGCGATTTCGAAGTCAACGATAAAGACCAGCTGAACGATGTGCCACGCAAGCTTTAACGTCGCCAGATAAACCTGTGAAAACAACACTATCCGGTAGGAGAGTCCATTGGCCTAAACATTACGTGCAAATCATCAATATGTAACTTACTATGAATTTTCATTTTTATTATATTCATTCGTAATTGTCATTTGACTACTCATTTAACTGATTAATATTTTCATACGTAAATCACGTCACTACTATTTTAACATCGATATTCCCTATATTATTACGTTTAATCATATACCGCTTAATATTCAAGTATCATTTCCGTCTACAGACTGCAGATCCCCGGCCGATTTTATCATTCCCTATAAATTCTAGCATGATTATCAATCCTATTTTTCCTTTATTATCGCATTTAACATCGACCTTGTTAACCGCATTAAACTGCTCATTTTTCAGCTTAATAACTTGCCTTCTATGTAATATCGCTGCTGCGTATTACGCTGATGCATGTTATTGTCGAACACTTAAATGTATTTTTTTTATATTTCAGTATTCTGGTGGGGGAATCATGTAGTACCCCTATACCAACTATAAACATACGCTTTTTAATCTAATTTGCATACTCATATTATATGTTTACACAGACCGATTTTATATGTACTTCGTAAACATTTGTCAATTTACTGTTGAACGTTACCTTGATACAATTTCGAAATTTGACTACTGCTATAATACACGATTACACTCTTTACAAGTGCCTTTTGGTTTTACGTTGTGGGCGTCGAGTAGCCACAACGTCTGTGCACATCGATAAAGGTGAAGAAGTACTAGAAAATACGTGTACGCTAATTTAGTCAAATAGACCACGCAATAACTATTCAGTTAAATGTTAAATTCTGGATGCAAACGTGAAGAAATTTAGTCCTATATTTACACAGATCAAATTTTATTTAATGAAAGTAAAGATTTTCTATGTTGATTTTTCACACTATAAATATTTATCTTCGTAAATTCATGAATAACTTTGATACACATATGAGTGCCATTTGTGTGGATTTTATTCTGAAATGAACTGCACGTTTACCCGGTCTATATTCGTATTGATATTATGCCTTACTCTGTCGACTATAATAAAAGGTACGTTTGTTGTATTGTCAAAGGTCAATTGTTAGTCGAATTGTGGTAAATCCTTAGCAAGATTCCTTAAAATTACTAGTATAATCAGGATTTTTTCAAACTGCTCAGTAATGCATTTCAGACTTATTAACTAGTCCATAGTGCGTCGGTGGTTCAGTGGTAGAACACTCACCAACTACGCCCCAAGTGGTCTGGGGGTTGATCCTCGGCCGGCGTACTCCTAAACCTCGCTAAGCCCGGTAGTAAGCCTGGTGGTAAAGAGGGAAGGTTGAGCGTGAGGCTAGCAAACCCACCCTGTAAAAATAGATAAAAACAACTGCTACCGAAACTTCCAAGTTCTAGCTTGAGGCCACCCTATATTCCACTTGAGAAGGTAAAGGAATAAAGTAAGTAAATTAACTAATCCATATGTGAATTATTCTGTATTGTATTATTATTGATTGCTTTAGTTCCTAGAGGAACATAGGGCTTCAGCCGCACGTCTCCATTGCTTTCGGTTCTCTGACAACGTTTTCACCTGGCTCCACGTCTGCCCACATGCTTTCATCTCCTCTTCACATGACCTCCTCCAAGTCACCCTCGCACTGACGACCAACTCGCCGCTTCCCATTCGGGTTCCACTCAAGGGCTTGTCTAGTGATGTCACTTGATGGTTTCCTCAGAGTATGGCCAATCCGCCTCCATTTCTTCCTGCTTATTTGTTGCACAATCGGTTCCTGGTTGGTTCTCTTTTAAAGATCCCTGTCGCTGATCTTTTCTGACCGGCCATCTGATCTTGAGTATTGAGCGAAAACAGCTGTTGATGAAGATCTGTAGTTTGTTCGAAATGCCCTTCGTGACGCGCCAAGTCTCTCATCTGTATAGTAAGTAGCATAGTGGAGTTCTGTTGGCCTCCACACAGACTTGAGAGTAATGAAAGCTTGTCTTGCTTTCCCGATTCTTGCTTTGATATCCTCGTCAGTTCCGCCTGTATTTGAAATGATGCTTCGCTCGTAGGTAGGTAGGTAGGTGAAGGAGGTTGCTTCTTTCAGATTTCTCCCATTTATGCTGATTGTTGTCTGTTGTTGTTGCTGTTGGTGGTGTTGGCTAGGAATCTTCATCACCTCTGTTTTCTCTATTTTCACCTGAAGTCCTATCTTTGATACTTCTTCTGCCAACTTTTCGCTTTTCACTTGCATATCTTCCAGTTTATGGGAAATCACACATATATCATCTGCGAAGTCCAGATCCTGTATCCATTTGTACACATTTGTGTGAAGTATTCATATCATCACGCTTTCATATTTACACAACCCACTATGTGATCCATTTTTAAATACTTGTCATGATATCAACAACGCTTTCTGAATTTCCGCTCGGTTAGGGAACGACTGGAATTTAGAAATCCTGCATAATTTGACTGGTACTGTAATACAAGTGTTTCAGGTCACTGTGTTCTGAAATACCACTAATTTAGCCAGTTGTGTGTATTACTTATACATGGGAGAGGGGAATACAGTTGTGTTACATAATGACATACATGATAAATAGCAGAAAGCAGAACAATACCGTACGTTAACAAAATATTGTGACATAAGGTACCCTTTACAACTGATATCCACTGGTGAGAAATGTCGAAGGCCGAGAGTTTACTAATCAAACCAAGGTACGTAATTACAACAGGCGTTGAAACAACTCTCTGAACAGTGCAACCCTTGAAGGACAGGAACCACTCGGTGAAGGGATCGATTGTAGAAAAGCCATATTTGGACGTTTTTAACACATGGCTCAGCTTGATATTGGCATCGCCACACACACACTTTAACATCAATGACGAAGGCTGCAACATCCTTGAGGATGTTAAGGTCGGATTTGCAAAACAATGAAGAAGTTTGTATGTTGGGCTCGACGTAGAATCTAGTCTGTAGGCCTCAGAGTTTATCACCATTGAGATGACAAATGCCGTTGTCCCTCTTGCAACGATTGATTTCAGCATGATAAGAATTTAGGTATGGCTATCATCTTTTAACCATTAAAAATCATGCAGCAAATAGGTTGAAAAAAAATCCAAAAACCGAGTGGTAGCATGCCGTCCTCTTGATAATCTCAGGTTTGTTGATAATATTATAAAATGTTCCAAAAGTGAATAGAAGCAGAACTGGATCTTTTGGAAGAAGCATTCATCCCAAAAGGATACCCGAGAACATTCATCGACAAGAATAACCAATGAGAAGTTCATAGGAACGAAACACTACTTGTTCCTAAAGAGAAACTTTACATGGATCTGGATTTCAAGGGACACTTAACCTAGGATATCCTTAAAAGGAGAATTTCGGCTTCATTATGAAGAACTTTCTTCACAGCAACAATGACAGTAGTGTTCTTCAGTCGCACACTGGTCTACAGAAGCTCAGATGACAACATCTCTCATCTGAGCATTTCTGTGCGTGTATATCAATTCGCCTTTTACTGTGAAGCCACCTACCTTGGTCGTTCGACGCGGATCCTGTCTAAAAGGGTTGAAGAACACTGTTGCAGAAAGGTAGTATTGGCTTTTAAAGGAGTTCGATTGTCAAAGACCTCGTTAACACTGTTCATTCATGAACGATGATATAATTGTATCTCCTGATAACCATTGTCGTCTTTCCATGTTTGTTAATTTATATGTCCACTGACCACTTTTGTTGACTTGGAATTTGAACTTTATTGTCATTTGATTTATTTTTGAACTGTAATTTCCTTGACCTTTACCGACTGATAATATTTAAAAACACCAGTATTGTTTATGACGATTATGCTTGAATATTCTATAATTGTAGAGCCAAAAGAAGAAATTATCGAAAAGGATATTCTTTGCTCAATTTTTTTCTAAATGTTTGACTGAATATTTTCGCCATGTTTTTTATTAGTTTGTGAATTTGATCCACACTTAGTAATGTGTTTGTTAATCGCTGATTCATTTGAGTACCAGACAGGCTTCTAGAAATTCCCTGACATTCCTTTGGGTGTTTCCCCTCCTGTTTAAAATTTCTACATTCTGCTTGTAAGCGTAATATCGCTTGAAATTAAGTCACGCGTAGATAAAGGCTATCCCGGTCCAGAACAAACAAGAAGCCGGTCACTGTTTCTAGGCGTGACTTAATTTCAAGCGATATTGCCCCTACAGTACTTAACGGTTTCAAGAGTACAAAGCACAACACTTAACAGAAAGCAAGGTACCGCTATCAGAGCGGAATAACGTTAAAGCCAAAATTACGAACTAGCCGGAATCAGACCAGACCGTTCAGGTAAGCAGTCAGTAGAAGAATGAACCCAAGTAAGGCAGGGCATAGAACAGAGAGTGGATAAGAGATAGACAGAGCATAGGCACAAAGATAGAATTTAATTGGCTACTTAACCAGGTGGGCTGATACAGATGAAGATCAATAAATAAGATAAACTCAACAGAATAGTACAAAGTAAGACATGGGTCAGCAAAAATAACAGTTCACAAAATACTCTGATCGGGTCATGAGTTCAACGGTCTGACTAAACGGATCGATTTAAAAAACACAAACACAGTTCATTAAACAAGGGGGATAGACATGTTAGGCATAGATAATTGGGTTGCGACAACGCTAGGCTGATCCGGGACAGGTTGACTTGATTCAAGGATGGGAATTGAATTGATCTTACACTCCTATTCATCAAATTAGTGTCCGTAATTGTCTACATCCATCAATATGAAAGAACATACATTGTGTCTTTTCACGACTAATTTACGTTCTTGGATTCGGATTCGAAGGCGACGCCCACTTTGACCAATGTAGTATTTATCGCACTTTATACATTGAGTTTATTTTGTAAATGGTATTGACCTTCTTTTTCTGTTGGAACCTTTGGTCTGCACAAAGTTATTGAATGAAGTGATTGTGTTGTTTGGCTAGTGTGCTATGTCTATTTCAAATGGTCTTAGTATTCCAGTTGTTATTTCGCTGAGATTCTTTATATATAGCCGGAAAGTTCAAATTTCAAGTCAATAAAAATGATCAATAGCGATGTAAATTACCAAATAACGAATGACGAAAATGGCTGTCAGGAGATAGAATTATATCATCGTCCATGGAGAATTCATATAGGTTCATTTCATACTAAAATTTGTCCTGAAGATGTTTTCTAGAAGAGGGACAACGAAAGCTTCTCAATTAAATCAACCAATTCGATAGAACAGAATTAAATGAAGTCTATAAACTGACTCTCAATTGAAGTTAACGATATTCAGCGAAGAAAATTTTCTTTATCGACGAAATCATCTTCAGAGGCTGTACAGTCGTATTTATACTTACCGAAAAATATATAGTGGTCTATTATAGGGGGTGACATAATAATCTACAGGAAACCAACATGGAATGGTCAGTACACAAATTTCCATAGCTGAGTCCCTTTGAGAAGAAAGAGAAATCTGATCCATTCCTTAACCTCAAGAATAATAAGGATATGTTCAAGTGATACAATCGATGGGGAACTGGGGCGATACAACCCTGAACTCTGTATACAGAAAAAGTTTGTTCAGTCTCTTATTCTACCTTGGTCTTCACCCTCTCACTAATCGTTCCCTGTTAAAAACATTTTTTGGTTTTTTCTTTTCTTTTTTGTAATTTTTAATCTTACTTTTAGTGTACTTTTGCTTTAATAACTAACTCACTATTATCACTCTCATATGCTCCTTTTGTACATTTTCACACTCTCTTCACACTTTTTAAATTAACACTCAGATACCTTTATTCTCACTCAATAGCAATTTTAACCTTATCAAATTTCTGTCTTTGTGCCGTTGAGTACCACGTAATTTACAAATTTTAACTCTCACTTCTAAAGCCACTTCCAAGTAACCTTATCAGTTATGTCACTCCCTATTACTCACTAATAGACCACTATATATATTTTTTGTAAGTATAAATACCACTGTACAGCCTCTGAAGATGATTTCGTCGATAAAGAAAATTTTCTTCGCTGAATTTGTCTTTTATTTTCTTCGTGACACTATACTTAACTAACGCCGGACTGTTTTCTCAAAAATCATCTGTACACTATGGGGATTTGTAATTTACGTAAAGAAGATCCGAATTTCGAACACTAATATGAACTCAGTGCTTCTGTACAGTTTAGAGAATTGACGTGCTCGTCACCGAAATCATTTCCAGCAGACTGCATACTCTCACATCAGCACCATCCCTCTACCCACCCCTCACTGGCTACTGAATATCAGATGGCTGGTCAGAAAGCATAAGTATGTAATTAACGAGGAGCTGCGGTGGCAAACACCCAGGAGCCTATTGCTCAATGAATATACAGAAGAAAGTGAAGTTTCAGTGGACATACGGTGAGGAGGAATTCAAGTGACAGACCACACACATTAGGCCGTGTAGTGAAAGGTGAATAGGAATTGATCGGTTGACTGTCTGAAGGTGACATGAAGAAGATCATGTGGTGAGGAGATGAAAGCATATGGTTGGTCCTAGTGCCAGCTCAAAGGGATTTCAGAGGACCAATTGGAATGCAAACAGCCTGTGGGAAAACATTTGAAGATTCATAATTACTGATTCCCATCATGTACATTTCACTGATGATCAGAAATTATTCGGTCTTCATAAAAAAAGCAGAGGTTTATCCCAAAAGTACAAATAAAAGTGAAATGAATCATCGTTTCTCGTAATTTAGAATGCTGAGTACTGCATTCGAGCGTTTCCTGACATCCCAACAGCCACTTGTCACCTACAGAATTCCGACAGTGGTGTTCACATGCAGAAAAGTCAGACTTGAACAAGTTATCTGAGAATCTTCATGCAATTCTTCCCATTCAATAAACTTAAACAATGGGTATTTTTGGGGATTTAACTATATTCTTTTATCTTGCTTGATTGTATAATAACTCAATGCCTTTCTTATTTACATCCTAATAAAGGTGTTAACGCTGTCGGAAGTGAGTTTTGCAGTATTCAAATAATAATCTATATTATAAATTATATCTGAGTTTTGTGACGGTGTATATTTACTTCCCAAGGGTGATTCTGCCACTAATCAAAAATAACATTTTGGGGTTACACAACTTAGCCTAAAAAAACAACAATAACAACAGAATTCAGAATATTTTGATTGTTAAACTGACTACTGGTAAATGCAGCACCCCCCCCACACACACACACCGGCTACAGATTAAGTCAAAGGATAGATACAAAATATAATGCTATATACTCCCACACCCAGTTGACACAGCTCTATCTACTGGAATTTATCTGTCGTATGCTGATTATTCTAACACATGGGTTGTATTACTGTCCATTGTCTGTACTGAAGAAACTTCTTTCATTTCCTTATTTGTCAGCACAGTGCAGCTCGTAGATTTACCGATTAGGTCGGTCTCCAGTCTTCATATAATGCAGCCTAATCGGAAGAATATTCTTTTGCCTCATTATTATTGTTATGGGATTAATTAATGTTACTGTTTGACTGGTCAGCTAAACAGCTCACTTAATGATACTTTGTTGATATTGACTTGCACTTCATCCCAACTGGGACTCGAGGCAAGCAGCCATCGTTTTGAACACTTAAGCGTTATCCACTAGGCCTCTAAGATCATGAGGGCCATGTTTTGTACAACGGGTATTAAGTGTTATTTGTTTAAATAAGTTGTTTTTGCCAACATGGTGATTCGACGGAAATAGTTGACCCCTGCTGACACGTCAGCTCATGGTACAGAAGAGTCAAGGTTGATTATTTCGTCCTATTTGGATCTAGTCAGCTTGATGTACCTGCATCGCCCAGTGACTCATGGTGTCCACTTATGGTACCACTTAATATTTAATTTGAAAATCAATAAGATTATTAAAATTATGACATTAAATCCATTTACTTTGGCTATTATTCTACATTTTGGTGAATTGTAAACAGTAACTATTAGTCCGCTAATATAAGAATAATACTTGAATGTTAAGATTATATCACGAAGCGATATGAGTTGGAGAACCACTGAAAACCACGGATCACTGGACGGCTGTTTCGTCCTATTTTGGGACTCGTCGACAGTAAGCACATCTGACCTCATCGGAGATTGGAAACGAGACTTTCTGGTTATGAGTCAAGCCCATAGACCATTCAGCCACTGGGATCCGATTCAGTGGCAGGTTCATGAATTCAAACTTCTACCAATTCGTGATTTTAGCACGACTGGTGCCAGGAAATGTCATCACTGGAGAGTATCTGTCCTCAGTCATGATCGGATGGACCCCAATGATGATGACTCCTCACTACAAAGAACTCCAGTCAACTTCGTTACGAAACCAGTCAAAAGCAAGCATCAGATTAATTCTCAAGAGTTAGTTTCTTGGGATTTAATTTACCTTGGATTTGGCCAGACATTGATATCAGCAAAGAAAAAGCCAAATTCGGGACTCATTGGCCCTACACAGCTGCTGCCTGATTTCCAGTGGTTCTCTAACTGATATCAATCCTCCGTTAAACCAATAATAATAATAATAGTAATTCAGTAGTACAAGTTTATACATCATGTAAATATTACTACTGATGGTGATAACACAGTTGATTACAGGATTCGAACAAAGAGGTGTCTGGATTATTCGTCGGATAATCTACTAGATAAACTAACAAACTGAGCAGTGATCACAGGGTTGGCCAAGCTAACATGTGAATAAATTATATATATATATATATATATATATAAGTGTATATACAACAGCCCGTTTATCACCACACCAGCAGCTAAGCTAAGGCCGCTTTAACGAATTCTAATTCTACTGAACATTGCAGCATTACAGTAGATTATTAATTACGGACCATGATATCTGTTCTGTTTCTGGTTAGTTATTTTCAATTTCAGGTAAGTTGATTTGTTCTTAGCTTTATGATTGATTATCTTACGATATCACGTAATTTTTTTATTCACGGTTAAACCTTTAAACAACAGATACTGTATAGATAATATTACTACTGGTTTAAAGATTTTTAACAGATTAGTTGATAATGACAGTAAGCATGGTTCATCTTAAAATTAACAGCTTTTAAAATAATAATGCAACACATAATATTCAAACATTGGAAGAATTGAAGTTTTTGACTATGATAGACAAGATTTGTAGCTCAGGTGACCTTGGACGTGATTGGTTGTTTTGTGTGTTTTCACACCTTCTAGGTTACTTGTATTGTAACTGATTGTTTCTGCGACTTGAACTTTGACCCTTTGTGTGTGTGAGGTTTCTTTCCTATCGGTTGATAAATTTTGTCGATGTCAATGTGTCTATTGATTGATGATTCACTGGAATGCCAGGCAAGCTTCTAAAAATTCTCTAGCATCCTTGTTGTTTTTTTTTTGGACGTCTTAGTCCCACAGGGGAATTAGAAACTCAAGTTTATAGAAAATCAACTCATACAAACCAAATACTGAATTACAACAGCAAAAATCCAATAACACACAAAAGGAATTGCATACAAACACTATTCAATAGGCCCAGGACTCATTGCAGCACTCCCACCTCAAGGAAAATTAAAGAAAGATATCTCATGGACGTCTTCCATAAGAATAGATATCCCCGGAATTTCGTCAAAAGATATATACCCACAAACCAACCTATCAAAACAAAAGCCTTCAAGGAAAGCACAAAGAAAATCGCCCTACTATATATAAAGGACATCTTAGAAATCATTGCATGACTCTTCAAACCTTTAGGAATTGACGTTGCACACAAACGAACAAAATCACTTCACTCAGCCTGCTCTATATCAGTCAAAAGACTCAATAGCGAAAGAAGATAAAACCTATATCATCTACAAAGTAAATTGTAACAACTGCGAAAAACACTACATTGGCCAAAGTGGACGTCCCCTTCGTCTTAGTATCCACGAACATAAGCTAGCCATCAAAAGACATGATATCCACTCCCTCATATCACTACATACAGACAACCATGGACATCAATTCGACTGGGACAACGTTCAAATATTAGACAGAGGAAACAACAAGAATGCTAGAGAATTTTTAGAAGCTTGCCTGGCATTCCAGTGAATCATCAATCAATAGACACATTGACATCGACAAAATTTATCAACCGATAAGAAAGAAACCTCACACACAAAGGGTCAAAGTTCAAGTCGAAGAAACAATCAGTTACAATACAAGTAACCTAGAAGGTGTGAAAACACACAAAACAACCAATCACGTCCAAGGTCACCCAGTAGGAAAGATGATTAATAAACGCGTGGAGAAATCTGAAAGCTCACTTCAGTAAATTGAAGTATGCGCTGAAGATGTCACCTAGTAGGGTGATGAAAGCTTCGCAAATTAACTATCCAGCTCAGAGAACACAACCACATAAAAAAAGTTTTTGACTATCGCTTATCTTATACTGAACAATATATAGCAAACATCGATCTTGTACATAATTTACGTGAACTATCAAGGAGCTAAATTCAGTGTTGTGGCTAATTATGTTATTTGCAAGATTTAGTTTGTAGGGATTTGATTCGTTTCAAGTTTTACCATGGATAGAGAACCTTCGGAACATACTACTGTTTCTTCCGTCTAGCTTGGAACTCATCTACAGTACCCATTCACCGCCAAGGTCCAAACTTAAGACACCCTGGTTGAAAGGAAAGCTCGTAGACCATTCAGCTACTGGAATCCGACTCCTCAATAGCCAGTCCATGAATTCCAACTCCTACCAATTCGTAATATTAGGGTGACCACCAACCATTGTCATCCCGACCAGGTGGACCCCACTGGTCACGACTTCTAGTGACCATCACATTAATTTTCAACGGTTAGTTGGTAAGGATTTGATTCGATTCCAGGCTTGCCTCCGGATTTATATCAGTCAGAGAAGCATTGAGAACCAGTACTGGAGTACTGGACACCTGTTCTGTCAGCCTAGATTGGGACTCATCATCAGTACGCACCTACCGCCAGGGTCCGAACTAATATCAATCCATGACCAAACTTGGAATAATGTTGTTGTGTATATATGTGTCAGAATCTGCCATTATAGTTGATAAGCTGGTATATTCATGGAAAATTCCCATTCGAACATTAATAGACAGAAGACCAGTAGTTCAGCGAAGAGTCCCTTTTCGGCGAATTCATATATATGTTTGTTTTGTATGTGTGTGTACACTAAATTTGTCAAACAAAAATACAATTAGTAAGTTCAGATGAATTGGATGTTGATTTAAGGGGTTAGTAACAAAAGTGATGAGTTGTCACAAATGATTGTTAAAGAAGAGTTACGTAATAATGTGAATAGTTTGATGAAAGAGTTGTGCTCAGGGTGTACATGGAAACAAAATAAAATACGGAGTTACGCAAGGGTTTTAAGTAGTTAGAAAAATAAGCATACAAGCAAAGGTTAAGTCAAATCAAGCAAACAAACAAAAGTTAAGTCAAATCAACAGAGTTGTTACCATGAGAGTAGAAGTGGTTAGATGATTTTCTTTTCTATGCATAGTTCTGGTTCTTCCAACTGAATGGCTAGGACTTCTGCGATGCAAAGAAGGCGGAAATGTATTGTCTTTGGAAGGTTGTTCTTCACTTGGTAGATTACTTTGGAGGAGGAGGCGTCTGTTGAGATGGAATGACCAGTGTTGACGAGATGTTCGATTATTGCACTCCTTATACGACCACTACTTCCTTCCTGCAGCCACGCTGGATAGTGTTCTTTGACCCTTGTTGACAGGATGCGCGTTGAACGACCGATGTACCTGGCTCCACAGCAAAAGGTGAACTGATATAAACACACAGAAGTGGTCGGGTGAGGGATCTTCTTTTTTATTTTATCGTAGTAACAACTCTGTTGATTTGACTTAACCTTTGCTTGTATGCTTATTTTTCTAACTAACTAAAACCCTTGCGTAACTCCGTATTTTATTTTGTTTCCAAGTACACCCTGAGCACAACTCTTTCACCAAACTATTCACATTATTTCGTAACTCTTCTTTAACAATCGTTTGTGACAACTCATCACTTTTGTTACTAACCCCTTATATCAACATCCAATTCATCTGAACTTACTAATTGTATTTTTGTTTAACAAATTTAATGTACACACACACATACAAAACAACCATATATATTTTTGTTTGTGCAGCTATGAAAATGAATTCGCCTAAGAAAAGAGACTCTTCCCTGAAGCTGGTATATATCTTGCAGAAGTCATAGATATTTGAAACTTTACTAGGGATTACTGTTATATTAAACAAACAGATTTAAGGAAATCAAACACGACAGCCGACCTAGAGAAATATTGATCTGTTTTGAAGCACTGAAATTTCACAGCAGTTGATGAAGTTTCTATAAAGATAAAACGTTTTGTGAGGTAAAAAGACTTTATATTATGGAAAAAGCCACTACACCATAAAATATCGATTGCTTTACCCAACGTAAAGATCAACATTTGGTTGATGAACATGCTCACCAGTTCCATCCATGTTTCAACGTATACCTTCACAGGAGGACTGTAAGTCCTCCAAAGCCTCTATTTTTTACACTTATTACACAGAAGAAAAGCTTATTTTTGCATTTTAAACCGTTGACAGGCTACTTTTCCTTCGACTTTGGTAAGTTTATTTGGGAGTGTTTTTTATTGCATAACGTGCATAGAATATAACCTGCTGATTCCATATCTTTCTGTTCTGGTAAATTTAATTCCAGACAAACGCACTCGTTGACATGTGTAATCTTAAGCAATATAGCTGTAGGTTACCGTGACAGTTTGGCTTTTTTTTCCTTCACATACTGTAATGTGAACACCAAAATGGATGGAATCATTTTATCCGTCTATAACAGATCACAATAAAACTTTTCTTCCGATGGAATTGGATACACGCTGAGTGAAACTTCAGAGCATTTGCTAACAAGTAAAGTACTGACCGTCGAGGAAATCGCTTCTAACAGCAATTACAGTTAAATTGTTTAGGCTGATTTTCTTGTTTACTTTGAAAAACACCATTCCTGAAATCAGAAGCTGTACACTGAAATACGCTTGAATTCACTTAAGGAAAAAGCGGTGCATCCACAAATTTCTTAGAGGAATAATATAAGGCTTCATCAGCACATCCCCATTCCACTGTGTTCCCTTCAGTCTTTTAATAGCTGACTCCACTACTGTCCATTTCTTTCTCATCATATGGTCTCTTTTATGTCGCCTTCGGACGTCTAACTTGTCGTTTCACCCACCCCTCCCATATTCGGGTTCCACTCTATGGCCCAATGCGTTATGTTATTCAACGGTCCTCCCTTTGCACAAAGTGACTATTATTGTTGTTCCCTTGGATTTTGAGTGGAACATAGGGCTTCAACAGCACATTCCACCTCATTCTATTCACTGCAATCCTCTACAACTGGTTCCGCGATTCCCCGTAGTCTCTCATCTTCTCCTCATACGATTTCCATGTCACTCTTGGTTCGACGTCTAATTTGTTTTGCATTCCACTTCCATTTGAGCGATGGCCTGACGCGCAATGTCATTCGACTGTCGCCTTAGTTTGTGTCCGATACATCTGCATTTTCCTCTACATATTTACTGAGCAATAGGCTCTTGACTGGTTTGTCCCTAGGGTTCCTCGTTTCAGATTCTTTCTCGCCGGCTATTTTATCTTCAATATGGAGCCAGAGAAGGCAGCTATTGGCAGAATTCTGCACTAACCTGTTGGTGACACCCTCGCCATATTTCTGATTCATATAGAAGACCTGACTGAGTGACTTAACATTAGTGTTGAAAAGGCGGAGTGCAGAGTGATGAAGGACTTGCCTTTCCGATACAGACTGGTCTCGGCATCTTTGTTCGTGCTGTCTCATAGAACTGAAACGATGCTTCCTAGATAAGTGATGGAAATGACCTCTTTCAAATTCCTCCCGCTGATAGGGACTGGTGCTGATTGCTGTTATTGTTGGTTGGTTAACTCCACTCAACTCTCTGCCTACCACTCCCACTAGTTTGTCGGTTTTGCCTGCAAGTCTTCGAGTTTGTGTGACATTAGACATGAACCATCCACGTCGTCCAGATCTTCTAGTCTTCTTATTGGTTCAGCATATTCCTGTCTTCTCACTTCCCGCACACAGTCTTCTGTATAATCCAGTCCACCATAATCAGGAATATCATTATCTTTTATGGTGGGCGGCCAGCCTTGTCTTACTCCTCTTTTCACTTCAGACGCTTCTTCACTGAGCTTTCAGTTCTGGATCCCTTGAAATGCAGCATTGTCATATTGCTGCGGCTGATTGAGGCTGATAAATAATTGGGGTACTGCACTCCTTGGTATAGAAGTAATTTTCAGATTACTCCCAGTTAACGTTATCGAAAGCCTTTTCCAATGCAATGAACTTGAGGTATGCGTTTGACTGGCATTCTCTGCTTGTACAAAGTGATACTAGTTGCTAATTATAAAATTTTTGACTTCTTATTTAACCAGTCCGTTATAGGAAGAAAAGACAGTTACCAATAATCAGATAACACCAATGTTGAAATCAAAGAAACATCCGATGAAATAAAGCGAATCCTTAACGATCATAACATAAGAGTGTATTTTCTCATGCAAGTAACACCTTACGCTCATCACTGGTTAAGGTTAAGGATAAAATAGAACAAAAAAACCCAGCAGAATTGTGTATACCAGATCAACTGTGGGGACTGTAACGCCGTATATGTAAGAGAAAATTCCAGGCACGTAAATATAAGAGTGAAAGAGCATAAACAATGTCTAAAGGTGGTTCCAAAGGCCTCTGCAGACTTGAAGAAGCTAGAAAATAACTCAGCGATTGCACTGCATTCGATAGAAACGGGACACAAAATCGACTTTGATAGGACTAAGGTTCTACAGAAAGGTTTTGGTTCATATAAAGAAAGAATGACTGCAGAAGCCCTACATATATGGGTGAATCCCAACAGTTTGAACAGACGTGAAGGTGTGATTTGTTAGCTGATGCATGGCAAATCCTGACTAATAAATAAAATTGGATATGTATCAACAGTAGTCATACTTGGTCAAATTCCCGATTCTCTAACAAATGTTTTATGGCTGTTCACCCACACACACATACACACACACCATTGATACTGCATATACACATATATTTTAACAAAAGTAGACTAATTTTGAAAGTCTGAGGTCAAATTTTGATCACGGTTCATACAATTTTTGTTTATTATACCTATTGATATCTGTTTCATGCTTCATATGATAGGACAAACAATTTAAAACAAGAGATGTCCTTTTAAATATAAATGCCCCTGTTATGTTAATTTCGATTAATTTCCCTGAAGAAGTTCGGACCATTTTGCCGAACACAGGAAACGTTGCAATTAATCATTTCAATTTCGCTGAGATTTTACAAATATAATTTTTTTTAAATGTTGAAATCAAATGTTTCACGAATGAATCCATGCTAAGAGGTTAATCTGCTCAAAAAGGGATTGATTAATCACTCCACTTCAGCCATGGTTGGAATTGTGTCCATACATGTAGCTCTGTCGGTTAAGAAAATGTTCTTAAATTTTCAAGTATTGGTTTGGTAGGGATGTTTTTTAATTGCATGGAGGATTTCATTATGAGCTGACATCAGTTAGAGAACCACCGGAAAACCTGGGAGTATTGGACAGCTGCTTCGTCAGACTGGTTTGGGACTCTTCATCAGTACGCGCCCACCGAGATTCGAACCCAGGACCTTCTGGTTACAAGGCGAGCTCGTAGACCATTGAGCCACTGGGACCCCATCCAATACTTGAAAATTAATCTGATGCTTACTAGTGACTGGCCCTATTCAGGCAGTTAACCTGGGTTTCTAGTGGGAAGCCGTGACCAGTAGGGTACAGCAGGTTGGAGATGAGGCAGTAACTCATCGAAGAAGACATTGCGAAATGGTCGTGAATTGGCAGAAGTTAGAATTCAAGGACCATTGGATCGGGTCCCAGTGGCTCAATGGTCTACGAGCTCGCCTTGTAACCAGAAGGTCCTGGGTTCGAATCCCGGTGGGCGCGTACTGATGAAGAGTCCCAAACTAGGACGAAACAGCTGTCCAGTACTCCCAGGTTTTCCAGTGGTTCTCTAACTGATGTCAGCTCATGATGAAATCCTCCATATTCTTAAATTATCTCATCTAGGAATTAACGAAATTTTATAAAACTTATCTCATGATTTATTGAGCACTAGTGTCATACATTCATAGTTGGAATCCAATGGTTTGTTCTTCTTTACTTAAAGGGATCCTTATATTCTTTTTTTCTCATTTTTGGCAACAGGGAGGATTTATGTGCTCGCCTAGGTGGAACTTTCAACTATTTTCTTCAATACCTGAAAGCTAAATATGGAGGGATGCAACCAGGATCTATGTAAATGATTTTGTTTTGATTGTTTTGTTCTTTTTTGAATTGTTGACCTTCTTTTAACTGCCGGACTAGTTTTTCTCCTTCAGTAATGATCACAGAGGGTTGAAAAGTGGAAAAATGTCAGATGATACAATGATTTTAAATTTATGTAAACTGTGTGTGTAAATATAATTTGATGATGTCAAATATTGTGTAATGCATTTTGGTTCCAGTAACCTTTTTATGTCCTATCCTGTTTGATGAATCAGCGTGTTTCTGTAGCATTGATACCATAAAGTATAATGCATTATGAAAACAGAAAGATTGATATTATTTATTATTATTATTGTTTCCTTTAATTCCTAGAGGAACATAGGGCTTCAGCCGTGCGTCTCCATTGCGTTCGGTTCTCTGCCAACGTTTTCACCTGGCTCCAAGTCTGCCCACACGTTTTCATCTCCTCTTCACATGACCTCCTCCAAGTCACCCTGGCACTGACAACCAACTCGCCGCTTCCCTTTCGGGTTCCACTCGAGCAATGGCTTGTCTAGTGATGTCACTTGATGGTTTCCTCAGAGTATGGCCAATCCATCTCCATTTCTTCCTGCATATTTGTTGCACAATCGGTTCCTGCTGTGTTGGTTCGCTCATTGACAAAGATCTCTGTTGCTGATCTTTTCTGGCCGGCCATCTGATCTTGAGTATTGAGCGAAGACAACTGTTAATGAAGGTCTGTAGTTTGTTTGAGATGCTCTTTATGACGCGCAGTGCAAGTCTCTGATCCGTATAGTAGCACTGACTGACTTCACATTGGAGTTGAAAATCCGGATCTTATTTTTGATGCTGAGAGTTGTTGACCTCCACACAGACTTGAGAGTAGTGAAAGCTTGTCTTGCTTTTCCGATTCTTGCTTTGATATCCTCATCAGTTCCGTCCGCCTGTAGTTGAAACGATGCTTCCCAGGTAGGTAAAGGAGGTTGTTTCTTTCAGGTTCCTCCCATTTATGCTGATCGTTGTCTGTTGTTTTTCTGCTGTTCTTGTCCAGGAATCTTCATCACCTCTGTTTTCTCTATGTTCACCTGAAGTCCTATCTTCTCTGGATGCTTCTTCTACCAACTTGTTGCTTTTCGCTTGCATGTCTTCCAGTTTGTGGGAAATCAGACATATATCATCGGCGAAGTCCAGATCCTCCAAGTTTTTTGTGTGAGTCCATTTTATGCCTGTTTCCTCATTGCCCGCTGTCTGTCGCATTATCCAGTCTACTGCAATCAGGAAAATCATTGGCGATAGCAGGCAGCCTTGTCTTACTCCCGTCTTCACTTCGAAGGATTCCGTAAGTTTCCCGTTGTGGATTATTTGGCATGCAGCATTGTCGTACAACTGTTGGATGAGATGTATAATTGTCGGTGGCACCCCTTGGTAGTAGCGAAGTAGTTGCCAAATCACCTCTCGATCGACGCTGTTTGCTGAAGGCCTTTTCAAAGTCGATGAAGTTGAGATAGAGAGGTGACTGCCATTCCAAGCTTTGTTCAATGATGATCCATAATGTGGCGATTTGATCAACACGTGACTTTTTTCTCCTGAATCCAGCCTGTTCCGGTCGAAGTTTTTCATCCAGGGCTTGTTTGATTCTCTCCAGGATGATGCGGCTTAGTATTTTGCTTGGGGTGGACAGAAGCATAATTCCGCGCCAGTTCTTGTATTGACTTAAGTCTCCTTTCTTTGGTAGTTTGAATAAGTATCCTTTCTTCCAATCCTCGGGTACTTTGCCTTCTTTCCACACCTTCTCCAGTAGTGACGTCATCAAGTTCGCTGTTGTCTCTGGATCAATTTTCAATGCTTCTGCTGGGATTCCATCTGGTCCTGCTGCTTTTCCAGCTTTTAGCATCTTGATTGCTTTCAGGACTTCTAATTGAGCGAAGAAATATTTACTTTTCAATTTGATGTTCATCTCTGGCTCTATTCTAATATACACCTATAGCATTTTTATTACAATACACAACAGTTTACCAATCAAGTGGCACTGATATGTTTGTTAACAATAATTAGTCAGTATCAACATGTCCATGGGGTGATAATTAACGAAGAAAATTAATACACACGATTAAAAGGTAGAAATGGTTACAACACGTGGATTGCATAATGCATAATCTTGGAAAAATGAAGAGTAATTAAGGAATAAGTGTGTGCTCAGGTTTATTACGTAGCAGATTGTTAAAGAAAATAAAACGATTTGGACAATGATAATTTGTAACTAAGGATGAAGTGGTCATAAGAATAAAATAATTTTACAAGGATAACACGTAATTAAAGATGAAGTAGTCAGAATAAATAAGATAAAGTAATTTGGACAATTATAATTTTTTAAGGTTTAGGGGGAGGGGAGCGAAGTAGTCTGGTTTATACATTCATGTAACGATGGCCAAGGTAAGGAAAGTGGCTGTACAAACTTCTTCTGAACACATAGGCTTGGCTTCTTCATGTGGATTCTTATTGCTTCAGCTATATGTAGAAGACGAACTCGTAGAGCAAAATTAAATGCAGTATTAACGTCAACCTTATGCTCACTATCTCCAAGGCGTGCTACAATAGAGCTACGAATAGATCTTGTTTGTCCCTTGCTTAACTATGTTGGATGATGTTCGGAAATACGATGATGAACCTGCCTAATTGTACGCCCAATGTAGCTGGCTCCGCAGCTGCAGTCAAACTGGTAGATACACATAGAAGAGGCAAATTTAGGTAGTTTATCCTTATTTCTCGAACGTAGAATAGGGGTGGTTGTGAAGAGACAACGTACCTCTGCTGCATAATAAGCTCTTTTAACTGCATTCTTCAGGAGCTGTGTTATTATTTTGCTGATGTTGTCACCGAGGAACTGCAGTTTTATGAACAGTGGTTTTTTCAGAACTGTTGCCATACTGACTCTCCTAGGTGCTGAATTCATATTTTTCTCAATGAAATTATCTGGATAACCATTTTTTCTAAGTAATTCTCTAATAATCTTAAGCTCCTCATTGAGGCAGTCGTCTGAACAGATTAACTTAGCTCTTTGAACCAGACACTTTACCAGGTTACGTTTATATTTCAAAGGTACAAAACTGAAAAAAATGAGTGTACTGACCTGTTGTTGTAGGTTTCCTATACACACTCCTTCTTAGTGTGCCATCTTCCCTTCCCATGAAGACGTCTAGGAATGAGATACTGTCATTACTTCCTTTCTGTATGGTAAAGTATATTGCTGAATGGGCATCATTAAACTTGTCAAGGATTTATTGTAATAAAAATGCTATAGCTGTATATTAGAGTAGAGCCAGAGATGAAGATCTAATTGAAAAGTAAATATTTCTTCCCTCAATCTTTCTGTTTCTAAATGTCTAAATGGGGATTTTTTCTATATTGAATGGATTATGGACAGGCTTTTGTAGGAGAAAACGTACTCAAACACCTTGTGAGATGGAATACATTCAAATAAGTTTTAAGTAAGCAATATTCCCACCAGAACATTACTGAATCAGAAGCCAGCTGACGAGTAAATCGTGATACTCACAGAGTAACCATATCACAAATACATTCGACTAAATTTCATGAAATGAAAGAACCTGAAAGGCGTCAGCGTTCCACTGGTGGAATCCTTGTCAACCATTAACGTGATTTCGGTTCGATTCCCGGTTAGTGCGCTTCTAAACCTGGCTTAGTCAGTAGTAAACCGAGTTAAGAGAGAAATTTGGGCATGAGTACAGTAAAATCAGAACGCAAAAGAATGGAAAAAATAAATCAAGTGATACTGTCGTCATCAAGGCTTCTATAAGAAAATCGAATGGTTGTCTCGAATTCGATTAATGTATGGGTTAATTTAATTTTGACATAACTTATATGACTCATAGCTTCCATTTACATATCGTGCAAGTGAAACAAGCAGATTTAGGGGTGACATACAGATTAGGTACGCAGTTACTACACCTACTATATGCCTAGCACTTTGTCGACAGAACATCAAACCTACTACACTGTAGATAGGGCGTTTAGCGTTTAAATTACTGAGTGAGCACACTTTCATGCGATCACTAATTTAGAATCCAATGAATAATGAAGTCAACATTCGGAAAATCAGAGAGTATTGTATTACTGTGAAATGATGTGAATATTCATCTGTCGTTCTGTACAGATTTGGCTTATTTTGGTAAAATTAATTAGTGGGTTCATAACAGTAATTCTTACAAAATAACAAAATCAAGACAAGATTTTTTATTTCTGAAAGTTTCCTTGTGTAAGTCACAGCTTCTTCAGGAGAATTACTCGGGTTTTAATCACCGCCAAATATGTATATATATGAGTATATAAATGGGTAGTTATGCTGCTGAGGATTTGAACTAAAATTTGTGATGCTTACACACTTTTAATTGATAAAAGATTTCCATCCGTCCGTACATTAATAAAAACAAGACAAGTAGTTCAGTGAAGAGGCTCCCATGGGCGAAATCATTCTCCCCTTTAAAGCTGTACAATCGCATTTATATACAATATTCCATCATACCTTCTACATCAAGAAGTTAAGACATTCTGGTATAACCCAACCCTTACTCCTACAATTTGTTAATGCTCGCATTCTGCCTATTATTCCCTATTGTTCCCCCTTAGTTTCTCCAGGGCTACTGATGAAAGACTATAACATATTACGCAAGATGTTAAAGGTTGTCAGCAGGGTAAGCAGCGTGCCACTTAACCAGCTTGTTAATATTCTGGTCGACAGGCACATGGACTCATGTGAAAAATGGGCCAAATCCATTTTATCTAACTCACACCACCCTCTTCACTCACAACTCTCCTCCTGCATCTCATCAGGCAAAACCAGAAGCCTATATAGGAAACTATATGCTCACACCAGCAAGTACAAAAACTCAGCCGTACCCTACTTAGCTCATGTTCTGTGTTATAAAGAAAGCATTAGGCTAGACACCTATAATTCATTAAATAGTTAGTAGAACCACTGAACCTCGTTTTTGCAACTCATATCATTTGTAGGTAAACATTTTTCTTTCTTTCTTTTCCTTTTCTCTCTCTCTTTTTTCCGTTATGTGCTGCTTTGTTTCCTTCTCTCGCTTACGCCAGTAAATATGACAGCTCCCACTTTTCTAACACCTTCAAACACTGTTCAACTTTGGCTTTGCTACCGACATGCCAATATGTTGTTGTCATAATGAACTGAAATTTCCTTAATCTATGTAGAATTCTATTTATTGATAATGTACTAACTGGATGCAATACTGTAGTAAACAAAATTCTGAGAAAT